TCTCAGAATTCCCCTGTCCTTTTGGGAGGATCTCGGGGAGAACCAGCACTGCACTCTGTGAAACTACGCCCTCCAAACGAGTATTTTTAGAGAAGACTTGCACCCCTGAGGAAACTCGAAACCCCAAGAGTACTCATGTGTCCTGCGTCTTCGTCTGGAGCTTTGTGCACAAAGTTTATAGGGGTGCCAGTGAAGTGCCCTCTCCAGGCTGTCAAATCATGATGGGGTGCCTCACTTTGAGGGACTCCACGGGAAGATCCCTATYTGAGTCACGGCACCAAATTGTGATAAGTTGAGTCTCAAATAGCAATCAGAGACTGGAATGCAATTAACAATTTTATTAACTGAGCAAGCGGATATTAGTCAAAACAGTGCTGGGAGGGCGAGGCGAGTCTCTTTCTGCGCCTACGACACACTGCGCYGCACATAGTSTGAGTCCCTCCTTTTATACCCTCTGTCTCCAGGTGACGTAGKACTTGTAGAAGTTTCCAGAGATCTTAGTACGTCTGTGCTGTGTTGTTGCTGGGGTCTCTTGYGGTGCTCTGACCAGTTGTTGGTAGGTGGGGCTGTTGGGAGSCAGGAGTCCTCTCTGCACGTTCGCAGGGCCCTTCCCCTGCGGATACCTAGAAATGTTACAAACAGGGCAAAGTCGTGCTGGGCCTGTCAAACTGTTCTAATAAAGTATGTGGTGATTCCATGAACCAACTTTTACTTATCACACTTGCTGCCTAGCATTCATATGGACTGCAGGTAGSCCCAGAAAAGGTGCAACAGCAGSCTCCTTGGAAGTATTTGGGAGTCAAAATCCTGGAACAAACWGTGCASCATCAAGATGTGCAATTTCAAAATTCCATAAAAACCCTAAATSATKCTCAGAAATTGTTGGGGATTATCAGTTGGCTGTGTCCTTATGTAGGCCTAACCACAGCACAATTGTCCCGTTTGTTTGATACATTGAAGGGGGACCCCGACTGAAATTGGCTTTGAATCCTGACTCCTCAGGCACAAGAGGTACTGAATGAAGTTTGCCAGGCTGTTTCTATGAGATAAGTTTAAAGAATTGATCCTTCCATTGACACTACTGATTTTATTGTTATTCCAGACTTYTTACCTCACAGGCATAATTGGCCAGTGGAATGACCAGTGGCCTGACCCATTACACATTTTGGAATGGAGCTTTTTGCCTCATCAGCCAAAAAAGACGGTTCCCACGGTGTTTGTGTTGATTGCTCAGCTGATAATCAAATGCTGTGAGTGATGTTTGCAGSTCATGGCTAAGGACCCTAAAARGATTGTACTTCCAGTACAGCAGGAATATTTAGAGTGGACCTTTGCTAACTCTGCTCCTTTACAGGGCAGCATTGCAAAATTTCTTGGGGCAAGTGACTTATCATTTGCCTAGCCACAAGCTGCTTCAATTGKCAAATTCCACCCGTTTGTGTCCAAAAAATAGCTGTGTGCCGTTCCAGGGGCCCACAGTTTTTACAGACGGGTCAGGGAGAACTGGAAAAGCGATTGTTAMTTGGCAGGATGAGTSTGGGTGGGAGGTCCTGGAGGGCCATGAGTCTGGCTCTGCTYAGCTKGTTGAGTTGAGGGCTGTGAYGATGGCATTTCAGTGATTTGCTCATRTGCCATTGAATCTTGTTACTGATTCTGCTCATGTTGCTGGAATTGCCCAGTGCTTAGATTGCTCATTGCTGAAAGAATTTAACAATGTCGCTTTGTTTTCCCTGTTGAAATCTTTGTGGTCTGTGATTCAAGAACAACTATATCCTTATTACATCCTGCATGTTTGGAGTCACACTATGTTACCAGGGTTTGTAGCAGAAGGTAACTCTAGATCTGATAAGCTCGCCAGTCCTGCCTGGGTAGCACTGCAGCCCGACAGTATGGTGCAAGCTAAGGCATCACACGATTTTTTCCATCAGAGTGCGTGTACTTTGTAGAAACAATTTTCCCTTGCTCTCAGTCAGGCTTGGGACATAGTYAGCTCATGTCCTGACTGCTAGGGATTCACTGCACCTCTGCCTGTGGGTGTCAATCGCAGGGGTTTTCAAGTGTTGCAGCTCTGGCAGACAGATGTCACTCACATTGCAGAGTTTGGTCTCCTCAAGTT